AATGAAATATCAGAATTTTTATTTGCTGAAATAAAGCAGTCAAAAAATCTAATACTGATGATCTGATTTAAATTTTTTTCCTTTTATTTTATCCGATCAGTCCTTTTAAGTTTAATCAGACTGTAAAATATTAAATATCAAACAGTTGTTTATTACCTTGTCCCAAAGCACTTGAACCCATTTTCATTATCTTCTTTCTTCATGATCCAAAATCCAAATGCATTTGTAACAGAAAGATGAAGTCGGTATGCAACACACTATACACGCTTTAAATTCAAGTGCAGATCATGAATAGCACGTACTACATTCCGACCACCATCAATAGTTATTCTAACTACCTTGTGTAATTTATTAAGTTCCTTTAACTTCTCTTGTAATACTCGAAGAATATCAATAGATTTATGATATAACATTAAATGTTGAAAAATTTTAAACTGTAGACTGTAAAGCAAAACTATTTTTTGGAAAAAAATGACCAGTAATTACCAAAAAATGATCGCATCTGTTTATTGCTCCACAGATCCAGAGTTATTGAAATATCATCAGTTAATGCTAAATCATCAACTAGTTTCTTAAAATGAAATTTATGAAGATGTTTTAAATGACGAGTTACTGAGAATCGACTTGGAGGCTCATAACCTATAAGAAAAAAACAGATTTAATAACGAATAAACTGACATAAGTTATTAGTGTGTTCATTTCATTATTTACTATCTGTTAATATACTATTTGAGAAAGTACTAATTCAAATAAATATCAGTCACTTATTTAGTAAACTAACCTGGAATGAGTTCTTGTAAAATTTGTTTCAATCCTGGTTTCTGAAGATCATTAAATGTCCTCCCATCACGTATTATACATTTGGTGAATAATTCATATAAATTTTCTTTTTTATTGCTACTGAATGATGAAGAGATTCTTTTACGTTTATTACTTAGTAATGTTAATTCATGTAGTTGATGTTTTGTAATCAAATGTCTACGTAAAGTCGATGTCTACCTATTGTTTGTTGAAATTTTTTTATCATTTGGACATAAACAACAAATTGAAAAATTAGAATTTGGACAACGTATGGTATATTGCCATACTTGTGATGATTGTGCCGATATTGCTGTAATTAAATCATCGCTATTTCTTGATATTGCTACGACTTTATTTTTTGCGACTTTCAATTTCTTGTTATAGCTATTGATGTAATGAGCATCATCATTAAGAGCTTCATCTGATTCAGAACTAGGAGCATGTTCACATGCTATTGTTGTATTAGATAAAAATGATTGTGTTGGATTCGAATCTTTACTATTAACATTATTTTGATTGTTCAATCGATCTGCAATTGTAGAATTTGTAAGATTGACTAAAATTGATTGAGAAACCATCTTAATCTTATGTTGTCGTGAATGATATTTGAATATGAATATAAAGTAATTGATGATTTATTGAACTTTGATAAATGTTACAAATATTAAAAACCAATTAAATAGCTAGAAGATAGAA